TAAATAGGGAAGGGTGGAGGGGGTGAAGGGAGGCCTAGGAATGGGGAAAAAATAAGAATCAAGATGCATTATGTAAAGGTACAGTTCTCAATGAGAGATATAATTGTGGTGCAAACCTAAAATGTACCAATAAAAGAATTTAACAAAAAACAAATAAATTAAAAATAAAGTACAGCCAAAGGAATTGGCTCCCTTCTGGCAGCAAATCTCATTCATTACTATAAAAGGCATAAACTAATTGTCATTTTTTTCAAAATTATATGTCTTTTAACCACACCTGGCTAAAAGTGAATTAAGTGAATTAAGAATTTTACTCTTATTAATGAAATTCAGGTTTGAATATACCTGAGGTTTTTTAACAACATCATTCTATATCCTATAAAATTTGTGTTTTTATAAGTAATTTTTCCATTTTGTCATTTCATTTTTGTTTTAAACTATACATCAGATAGTGCTGCTCTTAACTATCTGCAGTATCTTTTTTCAGCTAGTTCAATAGTAATTGAAAGCAGTAATGAAAAACTACCGTGTCTCCTTATTTTTCCCCTTTGGAAGATTTTACCCATATCTATTGAAGGATCCTATATAAATCCATAATTATTCAAATAAAAATAATTACCTACATTTCAATGATGGCTCAAATATGCATTTGTGTTTTTAAAACAGCAAAATTAATAAATCGTAATTCAAACATATACCCCAAATTCAAACACTTCTCTCCATTACTGCTGCCACCAAACATAACAAACACGTTTCTAAACTCAACTACTGCAATATTCTTTACACTTGCAGTTGTTGTCAAGCTTGCCTCTCCATTAACCACACAACATTAAAAGTGATCTTTTAAAGTTTTAATCAGACCATGTCAATCCCCCAGTTCAAACCCTCCCATCTTTTTGATATTATAAAGTCTGATCTCTTTAGGATGGCCTTTGAGGCCCAGGAAGACCTGCTGATGCCTACCTATTTATTTCCCTTCTCTTGCCACTGTGCCCTGGGCCACTATAACTACTGATACAATGGATTTTTTTCTTCATCTGGAACATGCAGTATTTATTCCTGCACCAGACCTTTGCAATGGTGTCTACTCTGTACGCAATGCTAGGTATTGAACGTAAGGTCTTTAGCTCACACACATTCTCCTTCTTAAGGCCTGCCCTCCCTGACTGCCTCACCTCAGTGAGCCAGTCCCAGTCCATTATGGGCTGCATGGCTGCTGACATCTCTCTCAGTCAGATCCTCCTCACTCTGTCTCTTCTTGATAACTTTGCTAATTCATACTGGTTTGGATTTTGGTGATTGAACTCCTCAGAATCACTGCTGTTCCCCCTTTGGTCACCTGGTTAAAGCCAAGAACCTCACAAACCTCTGTGACTGAGCCATTTTACTTTTATAAGGTCTATTTTATCCCCTTAACTCATCCATGATTGCCAACTAAGTCTCTCAAGCCAGAGAGTGCTCTTTGAATACACTGAGTCACACATATTGCATGGGATTTCTCAAAACACTAAGTTCTTCTTCCAGTTGTGGGCAGAAATTCTGAGCATCCTTAAGAAGGGGTCTCTAAAGCTACTTCTCCTGGAGGTTTGGCCTCAAGAAGCAGGGAAAAGAAAACAAGGCTGTGATAGCCACTTTCTTCTTTTACTGTGACCTCTCAACCCCTTCTGACCTCTCTCAAAGAAATAGGTTTTTTTCTTGTTGGTTTTCTAGATGATGTGCAATTCCTTTTTACAAAATCCTATGCAAACTCAGTCATTTATGTTTGCTGACAAGCATCAAGATGAAAAGTAAAAGCAGTTAATGAATCATCTTAATGTTTTGTCTTTAAATTACTAAGCCTCTGGATCTTGGCAAATCATTAAGTAATTGACTAATCCACCAAATCTCATCTCAATATAGAAGGAAGGAATTGAAGGGCTGTAGAAACCCTTTCTTTCTCAAGACTGATTGACTTTAAACCATACATCAAATTGGAGGAAAGTGAATGTTTTGTTCCACTTCTACCCCATGGCACCAGATGCTTTGACTGCTGTAGGAGAGAAGACAAGTAAGAAAGCAAAAGAGGAAAATGTTCATCATGAATGATTTAGACATAAATGCAGGGAATGGAAGAAAATGATTTTCTCTCTATGTGTAATACAAAAGGAGACTAGAAATAATAATAGCTGTATTCAAATAAATCATTATCAACAAAAATAATCACTGTATGAGAGTAATTCCATTAGTTGTGTGTCATTTATTCAGCATACTGAACCCTTAAGTCATAGCTACGATTTGGAACACATACACCCCCCCACACACAAATATGAATTGCCAAATAGCAAACAAAATTCAAGCTTTCTGTATCTCATTATTCTTATTCTGAAAAGAATTCTAAATGTTTTATTTTTCTGATTTCCTAGATCATTTTGAAAACAACAATTCAGACCTTGGACACCAAAAACAGGTAGAATGAAAATGAGAATGGTTTTTGATGATGAGACAGAAAAACAGTTTTAAATTCACAGATACTCAAAAACCATGCCTGTATGGAACCACTGGAAATATATTTAAATGTCCTTTCTCCATTTTTATTATTATTAAATATTTTGATCTCTTGTATAAAGAACTATAAAAATACATGACATACTTTATATAAGAAGTGTTTGTGTTTTTATTCATTTCACAGTCTTTAGCACAAGATAAACACAAGTTTTACAAAGAAAGTAGACTACGTACAAAACATTTAATTACTCTTTTTTTCTAATTGAGGTCTTTATTAGTATTGAAAATGGATGTCTAGGCACAATAGTCTTATAAACATTGCCCAAAAGTTCATGTACAAATAAAGATTGTAATCAGAAGTATTAGGCATTTTGAAGTTAGGTCTGGGTTTGACCCATAGCCACAATATTTTCCAATTTCTTTACGGATGAGTCTCTATCTAGAATTATATAGAATTATCAGGATCCTGAAAAATGAGGAAAATAAAACCTACCTTACAATGTTGCTTTGATGATTGAATGGTAACCACTTGTCTGTTAAAATGCTAAGTAGATTTTACAAAATATAGAAAAAGTTACAAATGTACATTCTCATGTATATTTGAGAAAATCCCATGTGAGTAAGATTTATTTTAATGTCAGGAATTCAGGGCTGGGGATTTAGCACAGTGGTTCCACCACCTGCCTCGCAAGCACAAGGACAAGAGTTCAATCCCTGGTACCCCCAAAAAAGAAGAAGAATTCAATAATCAAGCGTATATGGAGGGAACCTACTGAATTAGGTGGAATTAAATTTCTTTTCCTATAAACCATATGCAGAGGCTATGTAAATTCAAAAAGAAATGAGACTGAATTTTGTTTTAAAATTATTAATTTTAGCAAGAAAAGAAATTTAGATGTTTGAGGGACATAAAATGAGGACAAAAGGTGTGTCTGGTGAGTATGAGTTACCTAATAAATACATCTGGTAACCTGTAAATAACCTGAAGATGATTGAGTCTGTTCTATAGTAGAACCCATTTTTGAGAAGGAATAAATCTTTATAACAAAATTCTGGGGAATATTATCTTAAAATTAGAAGCAAATCTTCCCTTTACTTTACTTTAAGCTATTCCAAAATTTAAAGATAATTGTTCTTGTCTGGGATGATTAATATCAGTGGGTCAGATTCCCATGTTTTTATTAAATCTAATTCTTATTGTAGAATGAATAATTCAAGAAAAATTTAAAGTGCTTGACTTCATTTATACCAGTCATGTATTTTGGTTGGCAAATATTAAATGAAAATAAAAGATATTTAGACAAATCATCTAATTATTTTATCTTTATTTTGCTAAGCATTCATATATTATAAACATCAGATATTTAGCAACTGTGTTTTATTTTGTTTTTAGTGCTATACATACAATTTATTCTGTAAATGGACAAAATTAAAAAATGGAGAGCATGCATTATATATGATTATCAAGATGTGCTCACTTTCTTAGAGCTTCAATGACAGCATCCATTCTTTTTAGTAATATTTCCCTTCTTGTTCAAGGACTGATAAAACACACTGTGAATGTTTAAAAAATTTATTATAATAAAAGACACATTGCCATTAATCCCCCACACAGTGCTGTCCCTCTCTTCTAACAGTTATCTTACTGTTTTTGCCACTTTCTGAAGCAGTTCCATTTTTAAAAACTCAAAGGAGTTTGTGAATTGGTATAACTAAAGAAGGAGATATATAGAGGAGATATAAGGTTGTAAGATTTTCATTTCCTTTGGTTGTTTTGCTGCATACATGGCCACATGTTAAACTAACATACTTATTTCTCTTCTTCAACAGGTTTAGAATGTAATAACTCAAGTATTTGATAACAGAGTGGAATAGTTTAACAACTATCTGTGTACTTCCCATGATATGTTTTCTATACTGTAAGTACATGTTTACTTTTTCAAACTAGCTTGATTGTGGGAGAAATGTGTTCAGTTAGGATTTGCAGATAACTTATATTGCTTCAAAAATTATAGGCAAAAATACACCCAAAATGTAGAATATATTTACAAGATTGTCAGATGTGAAAAGATATTCTGTAAATTAGCTTTAAAACTACATCAAGGTTAAAGCTTAAAATAATCATTTATTGTGGCAGGGTAATATACTGATGTTTAAATTATACTTCTAAGTCTTATTGATGTTCTTAAGATTCTTTAGTTTTCAAGAAACAAATTACATAAAAATTGGGCATATACAATCTTGTTTGAAAGTATTAAAAATTCTTAAAATATAATTTGCAATAGAATTTTAAATTCAGGTCAGTTTCTTTCTGTGTAGTTATCTTTTGAAAATGAGTTTTAATTTTGACTAAATAATACCTACAACACTAAATCATTCATATATATGTATATAATTTCTTAAATAACTCAAATTAAAATGTAAGGAAAAGTGGTCTTTACATGCATATGAAGCTCTTAATCCTCATTTTATATTTCCAAAAAATAAAAAAGATAAGGAGCTGGGACACTATGCTTTGTTTTTGAGTAACAAGTACTAAGCATTCTGACCATTAAACAAAGATAATGCACAATACATTTCAAAAGGGCTGAAAGAAAAGATTTTCAGTGTTTTCACCCTGGAGAAATAATAACTGAGGAAATAGATGTACTTACATTGATTTGAACATTATAAAATACATATGTGGATCAAGACATCATACTGTGCCCAATAGATATGTGCTATTTTATGACATTTAAAAAATAAAAATAAATACATTTTTAAAACAGCAAAATGAAAAAGGAAATATTGAGCAGTAAGTACCAACTCATAGAAATAGGAAAGAAAGGAGGCAGTCTAATCTCTTTCCCTCAGAAGAAAGTGAGCCATGAGCTGGAGCCCTTCAGTCTCAGAACTTAAAATTTCTGACATATTTAGGGCATCAGGAGATTTTGTATCTTAACTCCTAATACATCCAGGCCTAGAATCACCATCCCAAGCCTTTCTCTCTATTTGCCCAGTTCTATTTTGCTGGAACTCCTGTCTGACAGTATAAAAGCTGTCGTCAGTGAACTGGGATGTAGTGAGCCTTGACACTTCTCTATGGACGATAGAATGTAATGAGCACTGATCTTTCTATGGAAATTGTGAGGTACCTGGTTATATTTTGAAGATTGAAAGTAGTGATGGATAATTTATTGACTTTCCATTTCAGAATATTGACTGTATTTTGGCATAAAATATTATTTAATATGCAATATGGGCTTCTGGAGCAATGTTATTTAATAACAATATAATGTTAAAGCTCAGTGATAGAGTACCTTGCATTTCCTGAGTGCAGCCCTGGGGTGGATCATCGGCATTACAAAAAATGCATTTAGAATTTATCCACTATATGCATGAATTAAGTTTTTATTTATTTCTTCAGTAATATTCCTTTGTATAGATATACCACAGTTTTAAAAATTCTATCCACTTTAATAAGTGATTAGTACCATCTCATTGTGGTTTTAATTTGTATTTCTCTAATGACTAATGATGTTTAACCTTTTTATATACTTATTAGTCATCCATCATTCTTCTTTGGTAAAGCTCAGATAGTGTACTTATTTTAAATTTGGGTTATTTGCTTTTTATTAAGTTTTAAGAGTTCTCTACATGTTATGGCTATAAATCATTTATCAGAAGTATGATGTACAGGTTTGTATTTTATATTTTAATTCTTTTATGATTGTCTTTCACAGAGAAATATTTTTAATATTTTATTTTGTATTTAAATTTTTGATTCACTTTCTGAAATTGGGGAGGTAATTCAATAAGTTACAATGGAGGATGTCCATTGAAGCACATAAAAATAAAAAACTCAAATCCTAACATATATTATAGCATGTATACATTCTCATCTATAAATTCTCTTAAACTTATGGTTCTATAAAAACTCATTTTGTTAGAGGTTTAGGATTGATGTTTTATTCTCATTGAAATGTTAACATTATATGCTCTTTTATATGTGTTCTTATGTCAACCTTCAGAATTTATTAGGTAACAGATTTGCAACATTATAGCAACAGTTTCTCTGGAACAAAGTTATCCAATTTTGTAGCCACTCATTACATGTGACTGTTGAACACTTGACATGTGCTCAGTGTGACTGAAGTAATGCCATTTAATTTTAATTAAATTTTTAACCTGATACGGGAAATTTGAAAAATATGTACAGAGCAATTTGAGTTTGTTAATTACCTATTCAATGGTCAGTTATACAGTGTCCCTCAGAGAGGAAAGACTAAGAAACACAGCTGAGATGGAAGAATCTGTATAACCTAACATAATTCAGTATCCAAGATTTGATTTTGAAATAGAAAATAGACATTAGGAAGAAGGGGTGAAATCTGAATAAAGTCTGAAATTTAGTTAATATTGTTGCAATAATATTCTTAGTTTTGACAAATGTCATGGTTACATTAACAGTGAGGGGACCAGAGGAAAGACAATATGGGAACCCTGCACATCTTTGCAAATTTTCTGTCAATATCAGGATTTTTACAAAACATAGAAAATGTTTTGGTTTTTTTTAAATTTTTTCTATTAAGTCTATTGGTACGTTTTAGGTATATAATATGGTTACATTCATCATTGGGATTTTGTACCTTTACGTGATGTATCTTGGTTCTTATTTTTTTCCCATTCCCCTGCCCTCACTTAACCCCCTCCACCCTTCCCTATTTATAAAGACTTTGTTTCCACTTTTTTCCTTTTCTCATATTTTTTCTTTTCCCTTTTCTTTCCCCTACCCCTGCCACCCCCTACTCCTTTAGACCGTTTCTTCCTATTTCACAATATCATTTATACATTTTGATCCTTATTTAGACTTTAGTTTTTCACACCAGAGAAACTATTCAGTATTTA